GAGTGTTTTTTTTTTTGGGTCTTCTAAATACAGAATCATGTCATGGGCTAAAACAGATAGTTTGAGCTCTTCTTTTCCTATTTGAGTCCTTTAATTTCTTTATTTTTGTCTAATTGCTCTGGCTAGGGTGTCAAGGACTATGTTAAATAGAAGTGGTAAAAGAGGGCATCCTTGTCTTGTTCCAGTTTTTAGGGGGAATGTTTTCAATTTTTCTCCATTTAGTATGATGTTGGCCTTGGATTTAACATATATAGCTTTTACAATGTTCCTACTAACCCTAGTTTTTGTAGTGTTTTGAGCATAAATGGATGCTCAACTTTGTCAAATGCTTTTTCTACACCTATTGAGATGATCGTGTGATTCTTCTATTTAAGTCTATTGATGTGATGAATTACATTTATTGATTTCCATATGTGGAATCAACCTTGAATCCATGGGTGAACACCACTTGATCATGGTGCACTATCTTTTTATTATGGTTTTGTATGTGGTTTGCCAGTATTTTATGAAGAATTTTTGCACATATATTCATCAGGGATATTGGTCTGAAGTTTTCTTTCCTTGATGTGTCTTTGTCTGGTTTTGGTATCAGGGTAACACTAGCTTTATAAAATGAGTTTGGAAGGGTTCCCTCCTTTTCTATTCCATGGAATAATTTGAGGAATATTGGTGTAAGTTCTTCTTTGAAGGTCTGGTAGAAGGTAGAAAGACCTTCGAAGGTCTGGTCCTGGGCTTTTCTTTGTTGGTAGGCTTTTGATGGCATCTTCAATTTCATTGCTTAAAATTGATCGTTTAAATTTTCTGTGTCCTCCTGATTCAATTTGGATAGATCATGCTCTAGAATTTTCCAATGTCTTCATGATTTTCTATTTTATTGGAGCAGTTTCTACTTTCAAAGTAGTTTCTGATTATCATCTATAGTTGAGTAGTGTCTTTGTTGATATTTCCTTTTTCATCATGAATTTTAGTAATTTGAATTTTCTCTTCCTTTTTCTTTGTTAGCTGGCTAAGAGTTTATCAATTTTATTTATTTTTTCAAAGAACCAACTTTTTTTTTTGGTTGCAAGAAGCTCTTTATTCATTCACCTTTTTTTTTGTTTTGTTTTAATTAGTTACACATGACAGTACAATGATCTTGACATATCATACATTTGAATCAGATGGGATATAATTTCTCATTTTTCTGAGTATACAGGTTGCAGAATTGCATTGGTCATGCAGTCACATATATACCCACAGCAATAATAATGTCTATTTTATTCTGATGTCCTTCCATTTCAACTTTTTGTTTGGTTGATTTTTTGAAATTTTTTGGATTCAATTTCATTGATTTTGGCTCTGATTTTAATTAATTCCTGTCTTCTTTGGTGTTGATTTGTTCTTTTTTGAGGGCTTTGAGATGTAAAGTCAAGTCTTAGTGACTGTCTATCCTTTTAATGAATCAACTCAATACAATGAACTTTTCTCTTAGAACTGCTTTCAGAGAGTCCCAGAGATTTTGATATGTTGTGTTGCTATTAGATTGCACCAGTGCCAGGCACAGACTCCCTAAATGACACAATCCCAGAAACAGTTTCTGCTATTGGCCAAATAAACAAGTCTGAGAAAAGGCACTGGAGAAGAGGGGTGCTACAGATCCTTCCCTATAGATTCAGAGTGCCTGGCCAGGGAGCCATCTTCCCTAGGGATCCTTTGTCTAGGTTTTCTTCATGGAAATATGAAACCCTTATATTTTTTAAATCTCTAAGACCCATACTATGGTTTATTTATCAGGTATCCCTCAAAAGCTCCTGTTAATGCAGGAATATTTAGAGGTAAGATGATCAGATTATGAGAGTTATAACCTCCTAGTTGAATGGCTGGATGGTGGCTGTAGGCAGGTAGGATGTAGCTGGAAGAGTTGGGTCACTGGGGAGTGTGCCCTAGAAATGTTAATCTCCTTGAGGCCCCTTTCCCCCACCTCTCTGCTTCCTGATCTTGTCATGAACTGAGCAGCTTTCCTCCTCTGGGCCCTTCCCCCATGATGTTCTTGGGCCAAGAACAATGGAGTTGGCCATCTATGGACTTAGACCTCCAAAACCATGAACCCCAAAGTTTCCTCCTCTAAGTTATTTTGTTCATGGCGGTTCTGACTCAAACAACTCAACAGCCACTTCACTGGGCCAGCAGGTACCCATTCCAAAAGGCAGGCTGGGATGAAGAGAGAAATTGAGACCCAGATCTGCTGAGAACTCTGGGTGGCTGGACTCAGGGTCAGGAGGTCAACCCAAGGGATAGAAGCCCAGGGTGATTCTACTGAAGTGTGGCAGTTTGAGCTCTGTGACAATGAGTGCCACGGTTGCATATTGTAGAAACCCCGATGCCTGCAGCTCCTCAGACGAGAGCAGAACTCCCAGGACTGAATACCCCATCATGATCAGAGGCACTCAGAGGATATGTTGTCACCTCCACCATAGAAGTGTTTCCAGAATCCCTATGGATTTACCTAGAGCAATGAGAGGGAGCCACCTTAAGAAAGCCTGCTTTTCTGGGGCTATCTCTGTAGATCAGAAACTCCTTCAGTGCTTTATATCCCAAGACATAGCAGCCACCTCTCCTTACTGAGTGGTTGGACATCTACCCTGCAGGTCAGTCTGGGCCCAGGAGAAAGACTGTGACACAGATTTGTAAAAATACTTGTCAGCAGGAGGAGGTATGGTATTCAGGTTGACCAGTCTGTAGGCTGGAGGGAAGTGGGGGAACTGCCCATTTAAAATTGATGGTATGAAATTAGTGACAGGAAGTGTGACCATCTCTATGTGGCTTCTTAAGGGAGAAGTGTCTGGGAGCACTGGGACAAGGTGTGGTGGAAAGCTTGGTGCCTGCTGTTCCCCCTCCCAAGGAAAGCTCCTTCAGGTAGGCAACCTCTGCCATCCATGCTCAGAGGCTCTGGGAGAATTTACTCGGGGACTTGAAATTTTACATACCACTGAGCTCAATGACAGAGTGTTTAGAATTGGTGTCTGCAGTGATCCAGCCATAGGTTGCATAGGCCAGAGAGTTTGATTGGCAGATCCTACTATAGTCATTATCAAATTTCCAGGTACAAAGAAATAAGTATTGAATTTTAATTTACCTCTGTAGATGAAAATATTCCTTAGCACTCCCTGGAGGGCAAGGAGGAGAGGACTCAGCCTATAGTCTCTACACCCAGGGTTGCCCTAATTGGGCTAGACAAGGAACAAACAGCACTATGGTAGTTCCCCCAGAAAATCCCAACACTTGTGGATTCTAGAACTAGAATTACCAGAGAAAAAAGTGCTTAAGGATTAATGACATCAGCAAAGATATCTTAACCATTTGTTGTTGGTCTTACTTTTCTAAAAGTTGTTCTGTGTGATTTTCCTGATGATTTGTTTTTTCATCTTTCTATCTTACTTGATATTGTCTTTTCATTAATTTATTTTTTTCCATCTTTTCTTCTTCCTCATTTTTATTGCCATCCTTTCTTCTTTACTTTGTTTTCATTTCTTCTTGTCTTTCTCCTTCCCACCCCTTTTTCATTCATTTTCTTTTTCTTGTTTTTTTTTTTTTTTTGTAGTTACTAATGCTTAATTTTTCTGTCCATGTTACATTATTACTCACCACTTCTTCTCATTGGTTAGTGGAGTTAGAGATCATTTTCAATAAGTTGTTTGTTATACAAAGTCAACATTTGGTACACTACTAGTAAAGTTGTTACTTTTAAAGTGGTGTGGGACATATACATATATGACTCCATTCCATACTGGAATAATAATTTTCCAGGAGGGGAGGACACAAATATATGTATGTATGTGTGTGTGTGTGTGTGTGTATATATATATATATATATATATATATATATGATGGTGTTTATATACACCATATGTCCTCCAGGATGTGAGGACAAAAATGATAGATGTCACCCACTGTTCTCTGTTCAGAAAGTCCTCCTCTTAAACATTTCCTGTGGCTGGCTCCTTCCCTTCCTTGTTAGCTTAAATGTCACACTGAGGAAGATCTTCATTAACTCCAGAATTTCCCTTCTACTCCTATTCCATCTGATCTACAAATTCCTTAAAATTAAAAAAAGTGATGATTATATTTTTTTGGTTCTTCATTAAAATACTTTAAGTATTTCAGAAGTATCTAGTTTATATCATATTTAATAATAGAGTTTCTGCTCTTAACTACACTATTTCTGTTGTGTATTTATAACATCTTTTATATTTTTTAACTTACTAGTTGTTCCTTCCCCAAACAATATTTCATATGAATTTTAACAAGAAATGTACAAAATGTTACATTTTACTACTTCTGTTTTTAATATATATCAGGCATTTCAGAACATTAAGACTAGATATTTCAAAAAAGTACTTAGCATTGTCAACTACATATATAGTAATGAGGAATAAAATGCACACATAAAACAATGGTTATAATGAGAAAAACATCTTCTACATATGACCAGTCTGGCCCAGAACCATCTCTCTTCCTTCTCATAGTCTTCTGCTCCATGTCCTCTAGCCTACTAGACAAACATGGAGGAGTGTCGCTTCTAGAGGTGGTTTAACAACTCTGTTTCAAAAAGCCACTAATAGAAGACATTGCTGAATTTTTTTAAACAAATGGGCATTTACAAGACATGTTACTTTCTAGCTCTTCTTTGTCATACCTTGGCAACCTCTTTACATCTAAAATGTCCAGATGCAGCAAAAAGTTTTCTTCTAAAAAGCTGGGAGTAAAATTGAGACTAGATTTTTCATATTATACACACTTCTTCTACAAATGACCCGTAACTCTTCCCAAAGGGTGGTGGGCACTTACAATTGGCCAAATGCGGTGTGCTCCTCTACCGTTTCTCTCTTTGTTAGAATCCAAACCTACCGCCCGTTGACAGCTAACCGTTCCACCGTGCTTGTCCAGGGCTTTGCTACCTTCCAGGACCGTTATGACTTTGTTTGTCGTCATGGTGAGGACTAAGTGAGGTCTAATCAAACCGCCACCTGCACGGAGCTGTCACCCAGGTCCCGGATCTGGGAGGCTTGGATGTCTAACTCGTGGCAGAGCTTTCTATTGTCCAACCGCTTTTTTGGGCCCTCGAAACCCCTAATGGCCACCGCAGGGTATGGAGGCCTCTATTCTCACCACCCAAAGGCGCCATATCCTTCCTTAGAGGTGGCTTCACCTGGGCCTAAGAGGGTTGGGCTGGGAGACCTAGTAGCCTTCAATGAACAGGCTGGGACAGGTCCCTGAAGCCATCAGGTCATCCAGATGATGGACAGGGAGATGTTCACCTGTCTATCAACGCCTGGGCCCGGCCAGTGGACAGCAGCTGCAGTGGCTCCAGATGTCTGTAGAAATACAACCCGACAGGCCCTCCCTCTTCAGAATCCCATAGGGCATCTGTACCTTTAGTATAATAATGGCCACTTCATACTATTTAGGGGCTCTTATGAGAATCTCTAGTCACAATCAAAAGATTGGGAACTTGAGTGAAAGCCAGGTCTTCCTGACTGTTCCCAGCAACTAGCCAAGGCTCCTGCACTGGGGCAGGAGGTACCAGCTCTGATCTCTAGGCTCTCTTCAAGCGCTCCCCAATCTTCCCAGGTTCAACTACAGCTCTTGGAGTACTTACCCGCACTGAGCCATGCCAACCAACCGCGTAAACGCCCCAGGATGGGGAATGCCTGTTTGTGCCACAAACCCCTGACTCTTCCCCACCTCGGCCTCCACCATCCCAACCCCCGCTCCAGCGCAGGCCAAGCTACTTATTCAATGGAGCCCTCCCCCAGGAGTTCCCCAGCAAAACTTCCCTTATTCTCAATCCTTGGGGCTTTTCGTTACCTCGTCTCTGGATGGAAGTGACCCACGTGTTCAAAGACGCTTCTGGGGAAAGACGGAAGCGGTTTGAGAATAACTCTTCTAGGGCGCTGGGGGCGGGTCCTGGCAGAGGACACACCCGGTGGCCAATGAGAATTCGAGGTGGGGTCAGCTTGGCAGTCACTTCTCCTCGGGTGGCTAACTCGCTCTTCTTGGAGTTGGAGAGGCCCTTTCTCATAGCGAATTGCTCCATAGCATACTTAGAATCTGGATTTTCTTGCCTCTAGGGATCCCTCAGGGAGGGGCTGAGAGGGATGAAGAGGACCAGGACGCGCGCTGTGGGGCGGGACGCCCCCCGCTGGCTGGGCAGCCTGCAGAGGACCAGCGCGGGGGAATTGGGGAGCGGCCTGCCAGCTGCGGTGGGCATTGGACACACTGGCTCCCAGGGGCTGCTAGGACTTTCCCTCCAGCCAGGGTGCTCAGGAAGCCCGGGAACTCGCTTTTCGTGGGGCTTGTTAGAAAGTACTGATCCAGGGCAGGCGGGCAGCCCCAGTGATTTTGGAGGATAACGTTGCGCGATGAAGAAGTGGGCGTGGGGAGCCGCCAGTAAGCGAGATAGGGTCCTGGGAGGCTTCCCGGTCGCTGGAGGAGGACCCGGAAAGGGCAAGGAGGGCATCTTCTGGACCTGCCAAACTAATGCTCGGCTTTGGGTGGATCGGGGTGTGTGCACTGCGGGGCTTGGGGCGGCGAGGAACCTGCGGTCTTTGGAATGGGTAGTGCTCTTTTCTGACAGTTCTCCCATTTAGGGGAACAAATCGTCCCTAGGCAGTGAAGCTTGGAAAGTCACTGTTATTTTTTGTGAAAGTCATCTTGAACCGAATGCGCCCCTGGAGATTTGTTTATCTCCTCTTATCCAACACAGAGGAAGAAACTATGTTGCTTCCTTCCGAAAATTCGTCTCCTTAAGACTGTGAGTAAAATAAAAGAGAATAAAATCATGGCATTTGCAGGTAAATGGATAGCGATGGAGAAGATAATGCTAAGTGAAGTTAGCCAATCCCCTCCAAATAAACACCAAATGTTTTTTCTGATATAAGGAGGCTGACTCATAGTCGGGTAGGAAGGGGAAGCATGGGAGGAATAGATGAATTCTAGATAGGGCAGAGGGATGGGAGGGAAAGGGAGGGGGCAGGGGATTAGCAAGGATGGTGGAATGTGATGGACATCATTATCCAAAGTACATGTATGAAGACACGAATTGGTGTGAACATGCTTTATATACAACCAGAGATATGAAAAATTGTGCTGTATATGTGTAATAAGAATTGTAATGCATTCCAATGTCATTTATTTTTTAAAAAAATCAATTAAAAAAAAAGACTGTAAATAACTGCCTTAGTGGGTTTTTGGCTTTGTTTTTCTGCTTTCATTTTCTTCTCTTACCCTATCTTAGCTTGCACTCTCACCATAGTTCCTGAATGCCTGGGCAGAAGGAAGCCTGGGCCTCTGGTGGAGCTCTATTGGGTGGTGTCTGCTTCCACCCCTCACCAACCCAGGGGATAGTACTTACTCAGAAGCTTGGGCAACTTCTTTTGGAGGGTCCCTTGCTCAGAAATACCAACTTGAGGATTGTTAATCAAAGTGGCTTGGTCCCAAGAGATTCATTTGAGTTCTGAGAATCAATGGATTATTTTATTGGGCCCCCAATGAAGTCCTGGGCACAATGATAGGAATGTTTACAAACAGGATCCCAAGTCAGACCTTAACAGCAGTCCTATAGTGAGGAAGAAAGACAACCTCATCTCTGCTTACAGAAGGTGAAATGAGGGTCAGAGAGCTTGAGAAATCCAACCTAGATCACACAGCAGAGCTGGGTTTGAACTCATATCTAATTCCAAGGATTGGGCAATTTGCTGATTGCAACTCATTTCCTAGAATACATGAACAGTATAAAGGGAAAGTTTGTGATGTCTGGAACCACTTCATTATCAGAAAAAAAAATCCTGGTCCTTTCAGAAATATTTGGGCTCCTTTAGAAATTTCCTTCGAGAAAATTTAAGATCAAAATTGAGAAACTGTTTATACAACCTCAAAGCACAGTCTTCCTAAGCACTTCCTTGTGCAGTGTGGGCTGCTTCCACAATCTCTCAGTTCTCTGCAGTATTAGCAAAGTGTAACAAAACTGTCAAGGCCTGGGAGCTATGCTTGTTTAACTTATGTGCATTTGTATCTATACCAGAGAATGCATGTCCAAAGCACCAAGAAAAGGGCTTTTCCAAAAGAATGCGCACACAAGCCTATAGTGGTGGTGCATGTCTGTAATCCTAGTGGCTCGGGAGGCCAGAGGATGATGAGTTCAAAGCTAGCCTCAGCAAAAAAGCAAGGCATTAAGCAACTCAGTGAGACCCTGTCTCTAAATAAAAGACAAAATAGGGCTGGAAATGTGGCTCAGTGGTTGAGTGCCCCTGAGTTCAAACCTGGGTCACTCCCCTCAAAAAAAAAAAAGTACATACACACATGCATATGCATGCATACAATCATCTCTTTACATATACATAATATAATATCTGTAATATTAAAATCAAAGATGGCTTATGTTTATTTATGATATACTTATTTAATTTAGGACATTAAGGTTTGTTGAATAATGTTATAAAGGCAGATGAGTAGAGTTTAAAAATCAGACAACCCTATCACCTAAATCATTGTTTACATTTTGTCATACAGCTTTCATTTTCTCCTTTCTAACAGGACTTTTAAAATTTACTTACACAGAACATAACCTTGTGCCCACTGCTTGCCCAACGTCACGCATGTGTTTTTCAAGTAGTTTCTGCACTGTTGTGTCTCCTTGTATTTCTACAGAAAACTCTTGCCTTCCCCCTTGGTAGTGCTTCCTTAGTTGCAGCAATGAAGTGGGGGCAGAGTGCTAATTACATAGAACACAGAAGCAAATTTGGTTTGTTAATGACCTGGGAGAAGATTTGGGGATGTGGGTGGGCTGTTTTAGTTTCTCCTTTCCTCTCTGCTCCTCCCTCTCCCTGCTCTCTTTGAGTTGGTTTTTCTATTCTATGGTTTCTGAGTGTTTTTCTCCTTGATAGATTACAATAAATAAGTTTGAAATTGCAGCACATTCACCAATTTCTGGAGGAGACAAAGTCAAACTTACTAAAAAAAAAAAATTTTTTTTTTTTTGTCTTTTGAGACATACTGCAGATACTCTTTTGGTTTATTTGCTTGGTTGTGTGTGTTTTAGTAAAGCATGGTCCAAAGGGTTTTGAGGAAAATAAAGAACAACTGATTAATTTATTATTTAATTGTTTTCCTTAAACAAACACAAGAAACATGGAATGGGATGTGATACCTCTATTTTTATTTTTGAGTGGGTATTACTTTTTATTCTAAAGGGCTTGGAAAGATTTATAAATTCAAGAAAAACGATAGAATGTAAATAAAAATGCTAACATTAATTAGGATGGAAAAACACAAGTTTCTAAATGATGGCATGATTGGAAGGCAAAAATTGATAATAAGAAACCATCAGAGGCCCCACTAATAACTAGTTAGGTAGACAAATGAAAAGTCCTCTGTTGTCCAAGACTGAGAAACAATCATGACCCTTAGAGGCAAATAAGAACTTAATCTGGAAAAGAAATTATTTTTTTCACTGAGTTTGGATGGCGGGAGAGGAGGTGAGACAGAAGCAAAGAGAAACCACTGACTGGATATTGTATCTGAGTGAGTCTCTTTGGGACAGTGGTCAAGTAATTTACTTCTAAATAGTTTTAGAGTAGAAGTGTCAGTTTTTCAAAAGAATCTCTCTGAAGAGTATAGGAATCTTCAGGGTAAAGCTAATAACTCTAGCACAATTGTCAGTTGGAGAGAATTACCATTTTCTGATAAGCAGAAACCTCAATAAGGAAATCTACCCCTCCCTCAGAAGCCCCATTTAACTAGTGCTTTTGGTGAATTATCTTGGGTTCCAAAAGTTCCTGACTAAGCATGTATTTTATAATAGGTACTAAATACTATAGCATCTTGAATTTTAGGATAGCGAATACATTTCTTCCTTCTTTTGAAGTAGATAAATATAGAAAAATGACCAGATGAAATGAAACAAAAAGTAAATATTACACAAATACAGTCACTCATCACCCTCGATAGAAGCATTTTTTATTTATTAATAAATAAAAGCTTTGTCTACACATACAACACACAAATATAATTACATGTTCAATCAATGCTATAGTCTGTCTTGTCACTTCACATGTAAACAAACTTTTATGTTTCTATGTAAGTTTTCATATAATTTTTATTTGATATGTTATAGAGAGCTCATTTATTAAATGAGCAGACTGCCATTGGACATTCTAGCCTGGTCTGGAGAGACTAAACTGCTCCTACAAAAGTGGCAGCTGCATGGCATATCACAAGCCCATGTCTACTATTGAGGATGATAAGGTAGGTTCTTACTTTGTCCCCACACTACAGAATGTTCTGCAACTCCCCTTGGGTTCTTTGGTCACAAATGGCAGCTTATACCTAGCAAAGGGAAAATCATCATCAGGTTTTAGGAATTGCTCTTCTTTTTCTCTGAAGGTTCTCAGACAAATCCCTCTGCCTACTGATACTTTATTTTCACAAACATCTGAGAAAGTTTGTATTAAATGTGAATTTTAATTTGTATTGATGTAGATGTACAGTGAACTGAAAATGGTATTAAACTGAAGCAGGTATGTAGAGCTACCTTAAGAGCTTCCATTGACAAAGGATCCTTTCCCCTTTTTGTTTGGAAATGTACAATGTATTTTAAAACATTTAATTAAAGTAATGTTTTCTGTATTTTTAGTTATCTATTTTTGCTGGAGGTTTGCCTTTTGTTTTATTTTCCTTTTCTGCAACTACTGCTGAATGTAACCTGTTTATGAATCTTCAAAGCATTCTTTTATCATTTCGGAGGTACTTCCTTTTTTAAAGCCTTTTTAGTAGTTAAATAATTTTTCCATAGGTTGTTACTGCCAAGAATAACTTTTTCAAATATCACGATTATTTGTTAGACAAGGTCACATTCAGACACCAAAAAGTGTGGATAGGAAAGTACAAATATCAAGAGGTAGATTTTATTGGTAAGAAAGCTGATATTTCATTCTAGCTATTTGGTGAATGGATTCTCTCTGTCTCCCGTATCTCTCTCTGTTTCTCTCGCCCCTCCCTCTGAAACACTTAAAATGTATTCCT